GTGTCCGTGGGCGCCGGTGCCCGGCGCGCTCGGGCAGCCCATGGCAGGTGGCACGTCCTTCCCGCCGCCCCCCATGGAGGCACCGGGCTGGCTCGGGGGAGGAAGCAGGGAAGAGCTGGGAGCGGCGGTGGCGGCGAGGAGCGGGCGCCCGTCTCTCACACGCGCATCGCAGCGAGGCGCGGTCAGCACCCCGGCGCTGGGGCGGGTGACGGACTTGTTGCGGGTCCCGCTGTACTTGGTGTCTGCCCCGCTGTCCGCGGACGCAGCGGGCGAGCTCCGCGCAGCGGCAGGGGCCCCTGAAGAGTGCGTTGCAGCCCCCCGCGGGGGTCGCGGCGGGTGGCGGGGTGCACGCGCGGAGTCTCCCTCCCTGCGCTGGGACAAGCCCGCAGCTCCGGCGCCCACTGCCCTCCTGGCCGCGCTGTGCACAGCGACTGCCGCACGCCGCCTGGCCGCGCCGGGCTGAAGCTCCCGAGCTACGTTAGCATAATTTATTCACCTAGGCAGAGGGAAGGCCGCCCAGCCCAGCGCGGAGATTCGACACTTTGCATAATTTATGCAGAAGCCGGAGCGCCGGAGCCTGGTTGGCTGCGCCTCTAGCCGCGGGATTCGGAGCGGCGCTGCCTAGGCGCTCCGCAGGAGCGCGGCTCGTGCTGGCTTGAGGCCGCAGGGCAGGGCAGGGCAGGCCTGGGACAAGTCCGGGGCTCTACGTACTACGCTGGGTTAGCTCCCTACCTGGGAACGCGGGGGAGTCCCCGGGAAAGTGACTTGATCAAGGCCATCTGGACCATCCGTGGCAGAGGCAAGAATAGACCTTCCCCTTGCACAGTGTGGGACTGTCAGTCTACTTTTGAAAAAAAATCTTTATCAAGGCCAAACCAGTTCCACGTTTCATTGCATAAAGGCCAACAGTCAAGTTCCAAAATTCAACTCAAGTCGTCAAGTGTGTATGGCTCTACCACCAGGAAACCGTCCTCCCTCCCTGACCCATCCATCTGGATACTCACTAAATCCAGGAAGGCACCCTAACACATGCCCTGGCCCCAAAGGCCTTGGCATTCAGATACCCCCAGCGGACACATCTACACAAGACTTAGTGATGCGCTATGGTGCTGTAGCATCCATTGGCAAAAACCATGATACTGCAGCCAGGTTGCCGTAGCAACACGCTCTCTCATTGTAGTGCGTTGCTACGGCGATGTAGCCGCCAAAAATAACCATGCACAGCCAGCACGGTGCAGTACAGGCTGTTACTGTGCCATCTTTTAGTACATCCAAAAGAAAGTTCTAAATGACAGCGCGGTAACAAAGGTGCCCTACAGCCACATGTAGGCACACCCAGCATCACTTCACCTTAGCCAAAAGGCCAATAAAGCTGGATAGAAGCCAGACAGAGTTGTTACTCGCTTCCAAGTGCTTTTTTTTCCTTATTTTTTTAATAGCTGGCCAGTCATTTTGATGGTATGATGATTACTTTGCGCTGTGGCTGATCTAAAGTTATTATGCAGTTAACCAGTTAAGTGTGTGATATTAACTTGGCAGGTCTGGAAGTCTAAATATATTGCAGGATTGACCAGTTAATTGCATAATATATGTAACCTACAGGAGGGGCATGTTAGGGCACTTTTACACATGCTCCGGGGGTGAAGGGGAACTTCAATAAGAGCAGCTCTAATTAAAGCACCACACAGTCTCATGTATAAGCGCCCCGTGCTTGAAAATGGTGGCAGATGCCTGAATTAAAGTTCATGCAACAAGCTTTAGTTCAGGCACCCCTACCACCATTTTGAAGCACAGGAACACTTATACATGAGATGCAGGAGGCTGCTGGAGCACATGTAATTGCCACGTTCCAACAAACTCGATTAATCAAGTCCACTCCAACATGCTGTAATCACAGCACATTGGAGCAGTCTCCACACTCATGTACATGCACCTTTAGTGCCTAATAGGACTCTGCTACACATTCAAATGAAAGCTGGACAGAAGCCACTTATTAGACTTGTTATACATTTCCAAGCACTAACTTTATAGCTGGTTGGCTCTTTCCATAGAGAGAAAATCATTTTTATCATGGCAATTACTTTGGATGTGTGGTTGATCTACATTTATTGTGCAATTTACCAGCTAATTATGTGATAATTACTTTGCACCTGCAGCCAGTCTAAACTTATTGTGCTATTAACCAGTTAATTGCATAATATAGGTAACATGTAGATGGGGCCTTAGTACCATATAACCTCACCCCTACTCTGTTTCCCTGTCTCTGCCCCTGCTACATGTTTCCTATATTATGCAATTAACTGGTCAACCGCACAATACATTTAGACCAGCCACAGATACAAAATAATTACCATGCTATAAAAATAACTATTCAGCTATAACAAGAGCCAACTAGCTACAAAGTTAGGGTTTTTTTGTTTTTTGAAATTTTGGTTCAAGAGCTAAATCAGTTCTGAATTCGCTCAGTCAAAAGTTCTACATTTTGACTGAGCAAAGCTCAATCATTCAAATCAATGTTTGAACATTGCCACCAGGCAAACATCCTCTGTTTCACATGCATCAGTCTGGGGCTTCGGGTACTCCCCAAATCCATGGCAAGCATCCAGTGCCAGATTATGACACTGCAGACATAGCCCTAAACTATGTCCAGTTTAAGAGGCCCCATATGATAAAAATAATCCAGTGTATGTATATTTTTGTCATATTAGAATGAAAATGTCCATACTTAGAGAGTCATTTTCCAATATCTCCTTTATTCACCAACTGATTATTATAAAACTTGATATTGAGCCGGTCATTTTTTTCTTATTTAGAGGCCCCTCATATTGTGCGGCTCTAAGATGTAGCTTAAGTAGCTAAAGGCTAAATCCGGCATTGCAGGTATCCTATGTGCAAGCCCCAGTCCCCCCTGGAGTTTAGATGCCCCCTAGTCTTGCTTGCTCCTAACCAAAAGGCTGAGAGGAACAAGCCAAAAGGAAAGCTAGAATGCAGTCCCCCATTACCACAAAACTGTGTAGTCAGGTTTCACACACTGGGGAAATTTGCAGGGGTCAGCCTGCCCAGAGTGCAAGGGACAGGACTCACCCTGGGAACTCCACCTTATTGATCATGGTATCATCCCTGCCAGGAAAATGTAACAACTCAATATCTGGTTTCTATCCAGCTTTCATTTGAACATGTAGCAGGGCCCAGAGATGAGAACTCTTTCCAAGTTTGAGTGAGGCAGGAGGCATGTGGGATGCACAAGGGACGGCTCATGTGCATACTTGGATTTTCTATCATTGTTTAAAATTTACTATTATTTATTCATGCATTTGAATGACATTTCCCACGCCGTTGTGTAAGACATTCACAAGCTCTACAAAATTTGTTTCCTTTTTCTACTGTACAGGGTACAAACTTGCAAATACTTAGGGTTACCCTTTCCAGAGTGAATGTGCCAACAAAATACATGTGCTCTGGGCTCTGGCAGAGGTAATAATTTCAGTAGTGCTTCTCCTGCCCCCTGAGTCATTTTAGCTATTTTGTTTCCTGTTTGTTTTTTTATCAACTTGCTTCTCCACTATTCTATGCACACTAATGAATTTTCATTATTCCTGGTTTGTATGAGTAGAAAGGAAGCTTAACATTCAATAAATTACTACATGGCCTGTTGGCAAGCTGGTGTTTTAGGTGTTTTTTTCCTATGTCTCTTCCTGCTAATGTGGCATTTACCCATTGTGTTCTTTTTCTCATATTTACCCAACTTAAACTGTATCTAATACCTAGCAGATAAAAAACACTTTTCATACTAAGACCTTTCAAACATTAAGGGCTAGTTTATGGAGGCCTGACTTTTTTGCTGGCAGTTACTTCTGTTAGTACTTTTAATGACCTCAGTAAGACTGTGCAACTGCATAACATGAATAACTACTGAGCCCTAGGGAGTAAATATTCCATAATCTGGGCTACACTGCTTAATGGAGCTGGTAAGATAATAAAGTGATCTGTGAGTATCTTAACAAACATAAACAGCAAATTCAGTAGGTCCGTCTTTGTGGAGTCAGCTATTGTTTCTGCTATAATAAATGTTTGACCATTTCCAGAGCTTCATATTTTAACGTGAATGATTATTCATCAAAAAAGTTGTAGTAGCAGTGCATTATTCATAATTTGTCATTTGTTGTTCTTTTTTTTAAAGAAAAGAAGGATTCAGGTATTCAGATGGGAGCAGAAATACTGTCGTGCAATTCTAAATGATCAGTAAGTCTTTAGAAAGAGTAAATGTTTACAGTAGTAAGCAGTTAAATAACCCATAAACCAAAAATCACAGAAATCATTGAGTCAGTAGGTATGAATAACACATGCTTTCTTCAAAATGAGAACTGGGTCACCAGTTATTTGATAGCAATAAAAAGCTAAATTTGCAACAAACCTTTTCAATGAATAATGTAACCACATGAACAAGATAATACTCAAACACACCTGTGTGATAAATAAGTATTGTCTCAATTTTACACACAAGAATACTGAGTGTTAAGTGACTTGATTAAAGTCATTGAGTGAGGCACTGTTACAGTCAAGATCATGCCTGTGCCCCTCT